GTTTTGTGACATATTTAATGCAAATCCATTCAATCAAACCATTCATTACCCGTAATATCCATAGTATTAGACTTCAAACACATCTAACACTCAAACCCTTAGTCTCTATAAACGCCGCAAATATATCGCAATTCAAAGTAAGTCACGCTTTTGTGTCGCATGTCATCCATTGGTGACCATCTGATCCATCTGTTTATGACACACAGCGACAAAAACTACAAGACATGAGTGGAGATAACAAAGACGTGGACAAAGTGACCGCATCTATGGCTAGCGTACAGCTGAAGGAGATGTCACCGCTTCCCGACTTCATCGACAAACGGATCCAATTGTGGGAGAAATTCAAAGAGAGATATCTGAAGGAGTTGTCGGAAAAGCCTAACCATAGCATCAAAGTGACGGTTAGAGACAAGAGTGGCGAAGAAAAACAGGCGGAAGCGCTGAGTTGGAAGACATCACCGGCAGAGGTGGCCAAACAGGTGGGACCCAAGTCGTGGACCGACTCTCTGGTGATCGCTCGCGTCAATGGAGTTCTCTGGGATTTGGATCGTCCTCTTGAGGAGGACTCAGACATTCACTTATTGACGTTCAATGACGACGACGGTATGCTATGAACCCATTGTATGGTTGGCTGCATATAATGAATGTCTTGGTGTGGGTGAAGGTCGTCAAGTGTTTTGGCACTCTTCGGCTCATATGTTGGGTGAAGCGGTTGAGCGCCTGTATGGCTGTCATCTGTGTTACGGTCCTCCCATCGACACCGGTTACTATTACGACGCCTTCATGTGCGGATCAGCCCAGGGATCGGAACCAAACGAATTGAATTCTGTGTCCACTTCTCATTTCTCGACCATCGAATCGTTGATGAAAAACATTAGTAATGAGAAGCAGGCCTTCGAGAGACTGGAGCTCACGAAAGACGAGTTGATTGAAATGTTTTCCTACAATCAGTTCAAAGTGAGAATTTTGAGGGACAAGATCAAGGAGGAGAGAACCACTGTCTACCGGTGCGGTACTCTCATTGATCTCTGTCGCGGACCACACGTCAGACACACCGGAAACGTCAAGGCATTCAAAGTGACCAAAGTATGACTCATTGACACAACTTCTAAGAATATACCCCTAATCTCATTGTTATCTTCTCATTGAATGTATGGCAACAGTCGTCGTCATCGTATTGGGAGGGGAAGGCAGACGCGGAATCTCTTCAACGAATTTATGGCATTTCATTCCCGGATTCTAAACAACTGAAGGAATGGCAGCGAATCCAAGAGGAGGCGGCCAAACGTGATCACCGGAAGTTGGGTCGAGAACAGGGCCTCTTCTTCTTCCATGAGTTGAGTCCCGGCTCTTGTTTTTTCACTCCAAAAGGGGCCCACATTTACAACTCTCTCATGGATTTTATTCGGGTATTCATTGTTTGCTTTAATCGTATGCTTTGAGTACAACAACTATTTGATGCAAATTTAGAGCGAATACCGAAAGCGTGGCTTTCAAGAAGTGATTTCTCCAAACATTTATAACTTCAAGTTATGGCAGATATCAGGACACGGAGACCATTACGCGGACAATATGTTTATATTCGATGTCGACAAAGAGAAGTTTGGATTGAAGCCCATGAACTGTCCTGGACACTGTCTCATATTCGACTCAGATGTCAGGTCGTGGCGGGAACTGCCCCTCCGATTGGCCGACTTTGGAGTTTTGCACCGAAACGAGTTGTCGGGAGCTCTGACTGGTCTGACTCGTGTGCGTCGCTTCCAACAGGACGACGCCCACATCTAGTCAGGTCGTGGCGGGAACTGCCCCTCCGATTGGCCGACTTTGGAGTTTTGCACCGAAACGAGTTGTCGGGAGCTCTGACTGGTCTGACTCGTGTGCGTCGCTTCCAACAGGACGACGCCCACATCTTCTGCACCATTGATCAGGTCTTCACTCCATTCGTCGCTCTTTTCGATGTTTTGCTAATTTAGTCTTCAAAACAGATCTCCGAAGAAATCAAAGGCGCGCTCGACTTCCTTCAGACCGTTTACTCGGTTTTCGGGTTTACTTTCGACTTAGTTCTGTCCACTCGTCCTGAGTCCTTCTTGGGTGAGATCGAGGTCTGGAACAACGCTGAGGAAGCGTTGGCGAAGGGTATGGATTCGATGGGTATTAAGTGGAAACTAAATCCCGGCGACGGAGCCTTCTATGGACCAAAGATTGATATCACTATTAATGATGCGCTCCGAAGACCATTCCAATGCGCGACCATTCAATTGGATTTCCAGCTCCCGATTAGATTCAATCTGAACTATAGTGCAGAGGACGGCACTAAGAAGAGACCCGTCATCATACACAGGGCTATCCTCGGATCCATTGAACGATTCATTGCAATCATCACTGAGAACTTCGCCGGCAAATGGTAGCAATCAATCATTCAATTGATTTCCAATTTGTCATATTGATTAACATCCAAATGATTGTTAGGCCGTTTTGGTTGTCCCCACGACAGGCCATTGTATTGCCGGTCGGACCCAATGGTAACAAATACGCAGAACAAGTGCGACAACAGTTGTTTGAGGCGGGCTTTCAAGTGGACAGTGAGTTAGATCCCGGCCTCACCATCAATAAGAAGGTGCGAAACGCACAGTTGGCTCAATACAACTTCATTTTGGTTGTCGGCGACAAAGAGATCGCCAACAATAGTGTTAACGTCAGGACCAGAGATAACAAAATACACGGCGAGTGCTCTTTGGAGCAACTCATCGAAAAGTTCAAGAAATTCAATGAAACAAAGATTTTGAACGCAGAGGAGGTATTCAATGAATGAATTCTATGATGTATTCAATGATTTTTTGAATTTTATTATTAAAATGATATTTAATTTAAAAACACTATCAAATAATTTATTAGATAAGTTAAACACTGGTTTTATTTAGAAAATGTTTGACACAAGTGTTCAATTCATTATTCAGATGTAATATCAGGTTTTGTTGCTTTTGATTAGACTTTTTATTGGCATTAATCGCTGTTATACTAAATGATGGCATTTCTTGTTTGGTCTCAAACGGCAAACCAATGGTTGAACTAATTTTTAAGACAAAAATGGCTTTTCGCGCCTCATTTACCGAAAAACTTAAATGATTGCCATCTTTAGAAAACAATGTCTTTAATTCATTTCTAACGATACCTTCGAGTGTTTTATAGAACTTTTCCTTCGCGTCAACTGAAGAACTGGTTTGGAAACTGAGGTTTAGTTCATAGGATGGCTTCTTAGCAGAGATTGCATTCAGATTGCAGTAACAGTTATCTGTTGACCACTTCATAACCGCTGAATCTTTTGGCTTCGAAGCCAAAGAGTTTTGTTCACTTTTAGCCATAAGTGACACCAATTTGAAGCAAATCTCTAAGTCCTGTGAATCGATGTTTGATTTGTTACTAATTCTTGAGTTTATTATTTGCATCAATTGATTGAACAAAGAATGGTCACAAAAGTCCATGAAATGAGACAATAGCTTAAGGGAATCGTTGCTAATATTGCTATCGATGTGAGTGAGACCACAGTTGATATAAGTCAAGATAATGGGCATTAATGGTGAAACACTTCCACTCTTATTATTGTTATGCAATAAAGTCATGCAATGCTTAAGACATTTAATGCAATCATTTCTAACTCTTTGGTCGCAATCATTGAGATACTTGCAGACAGTGTTCACCACTTCTCCACTCTTTGCCATAACATTGGTTGAATTGATCCAATTGTTGACACCACTCAGGCAAGAGATCTTCATCTGAGTGTTGAGACCATAACTGTTGGACAATGTCTTAATCGGGTCTTTAGATCGTGACTCCATTTCCTTTAAAATGATTTTCTTGGACTTGAACTCAGTTTTAGTGTCATTTGTGGCGCCAATGAGTCTTCGGCCGACTCTAAGCTTAGTCTTCTGGAAGTCTCTCTCCTTCTTCTTCTTTTTGGCCATTTCTTCGCTGATTATCACTTAAACTATTCAATCAAATGACAAACAATTGAAACACCAATTCATGTGCTTTTAAAAAGACAACACATGTTTCAAATCTATTCAATAATAACGTAACGCATGGAAAGGGGTAACAGATATACAAATGGCATTGAAATCCTATTAGAGTGAACCGACAGGGGATAGACTTAATGTTACGTTATGTATGGACTCACTGTTTAGTGTTTTTAGCGGCAATCAGTTTTGTTGTTCACTTGTATTGACGTGTGTTTTAAAGTGTGCTTTAATTGTGTTTTAATTGATTTACACTGAATTGAGTCATAACTGAAAGCCGATTTCCACATCACTTTAGGCACACATTTGCTGTTATATTAGACGTGTTTTGAGGTAAGCGTTAGTTTGTATTAAATGACAATTTAATCAATTGATGAATGATTGTGAGGGCAATGCAAGTTTCAATGGTATGACTACTAAACTAATTGAATTGAATTATAATTACTGTCATATGAAATACAAAACCATAAGTGAAACCAAACATGCAGTCCATAGACAGCATAAGCAATGACTATGTGTTGAGTGTATGTAATGATCGCAATTCACTACTCATTTGTTTGAACCAATTGTTGACGAGTGAGACACCGATGGCTAATGAATTGGTGGACACTTTGTTTGGCATACATTGCAATCATTTGGACAGTTATGTCAAACATATCACATCCAAAGTGTTGATCAAAGTGTGTGTCAAACAAAACCATGACTTAAGCGCACGAAAGCATTGCTGGCATTGTTTGCCACAAATGTGCCAATTCTTGAACCTATTGTCTGCCAATACATCCATCGACTCGTGTCTTGGATTGGAGACAATCATCGATGAAATATGTGACAAATTGTGTGAAATGTGTGGACCCGTTGAGGCCCACTATGACCTCTGCAAAGATCATTGTCTTTGTTTCACTCCAGAGGCAGTCAAACACTTGACGCATTTGATTGAAGACAACAAATTGAATACAATTTTATTGAATTTACTAAAAGTGTTGACTTCGGGACCAAAACGTTGTTTTGTCACCAAATGTCTCAATCTATTGATTTGTGTCGTCAAACAAAAGGGCGGAAACAGACTTATTATGCAAACCATCTCTCAATCCATATTTGGCGACCATTTCTTGTGCCAATCCATTGATATCTGCAATACTTTGTATACTTTTGGAGGAAGTTATTCAGGAAATGGCAAAGAATTGGTGAATGACTACGGATGTGATGTTGTGATGATTCGTCAACTCATTCTTCTGTCTTTACTGACTCTGAGCTGTGAAACCAATTTAGAGATCCATTCAGACGATGTCAGTAGAAGTCGTTTGCAAATGATATCACAATATGTGAGGAAGAAGTGGTCAAAGTTTGATGAAAACGATTGGATTATAAGAGTATTCATAGAAGAAGACGAACAGCTCTTGAATGCATTGTATTGTGTGATGAGTTTGGGTGACAATCAGATGTCACACTTGCTGATGAACGCATTCATCGGATCAATTGGTGGCGATTCTGGAGTACTATTAGACATGTTGTGTAGTGACGAGCAAACGGCAACTCTTTTATTGAAATTGTTGTTAATTTATCTTAAATTAAGTGATATTAACATAAGTATTGAAATGAATGTGAAAAACGTTTTGTTAGAATTGAGAGACAAAATGCAAAGATTGACAGCAAAACAGTTGTTTCCATATAATGTCAAACCATTGATCAAACTAATGAATAAACTCAAGACATGAACTCATGGTTTAAACTTAACCAGAGGAATGTTTTTACTTTGAGTGCATTTATTGCAAACCCATTCGGCGTACACCTCTTGTGTGAGCAGAAAGTAAGCCCTGTCTGAGAGTCCGGAGCAGATCCGGTGAAACCAGAAGTTGCAGCCACTCTCGCATAGGATGGCCTGATCGTTGTCGTGCACCTCCTTGTGACAGATACCGCACGGGTATATGGGAGGGGCGTTGGGGTTGGCCGGGTTGAACACCATTGATTGCTCCTCGGGATACACCTTACCAGACATGAGTGGCACCGGTTTGGGTCCCATGGGTCCCCCAGTGGGAGGCATCGGGACATTGCTGTTGTTGTTGACAATCATGTTATTAGGCGACTGAGCGTTAGGGTGGTTGGGCTGTTGTGGTAGCCCTGGCCCTCCCGTCGGAGGCATCGGTTGAGGTGTTTGTGAGTTGACGGGTGTGCGGGGGGTGTCGTCGAAAGGGTTGGACGCATAGATGGTGTCCCCGAATGGTGTCATCGGTTGTGGAGGAATGAGTTGCGGTGAATGAATGGACTTATTGGTGGTGTTATTGTTACTGTTCTGGTTGTTGGCATTGTTCACATTAGAAGTCCGTCTCTTCTTAGTGTTACCACTCTTTGTCATAATCTCACTGTCGTTGCCATCATTCAAGTTCTTATTCTTAAGGGAACCCTTCTTTTCCCTCGGCATCACTGACACTGTATTTGAAACACAATTCAATTTGTGATTACTTGTTGTGATGAAGTGAACCAAAACTCCTGAAGAGATAACAATAAAGGATACGAGCATTGGATTCAACCAAATGGCTTCACTTGGAGGGGAGTTACCAATGCTTGTACTCCAACCCACTGAAAGTGAAGCCAACTTTACATTCAATACAATATTCTTCAACAAATTCATTCTTCACTATATTTATCTGAAAGCGAATATAACTTTACATTCACTTGAATATCATTTAAGTTAAATTTTATTAATTAGAGCCTAGATTTAGACAAATTATATTTTCTTATACAGACAGATATTTTAATGGGAAATTACATTTTAGTCTTAATTTACAAGTAATAGAAAATATACAGTAGAACCTACAGTATACATGAGTTAATATATCAGAATTACTTGAATAATAAATTAGAAATAAATTAGAAATAAATAATTGAATATTAATTTTAGATTATTTAAAGAAATTTCTTCTAAAATTCCAATGTTTTTGCTCTTCTATACGATTGGATCCAAGAGGTCCTCTAATGCCATAAGCATCACTGACACTGTATTTGAAACACAATTCAATTTGTGATTACTTGTTGTGATGAAGTGAACCAAAACTCCTGAAGAGATAACAATAAAGGATACGAGCATTGGATTCAACCAAATGGCTTCACTGGGAGGGGAGTCACCAATGCTTGCACTCAAAGTGAAGCCAACATTACATTCAATACAATATTCTTCAACAAATTAATTCTTCACTATATTTATCTCAAAGCAAATACAGTATTACTTTACATTCACTTGAATATCATTTAAATGAAATTTTATTAATTTCAGCCTAGATTTAGACAAATTATATTTTCTTATACAGACAGATATTTTAATGTGAAATTACATTTTAGTTTTAATTTACAAATAATAGAAAATATACAGTAGAACCTACAGTATATATGAGTTAATATATCAGAATTACTTGAATAACAAATTAGAAATAAATTAGAAATAAATAATTGAATATTAATTTTAGATTATTTAAAGAAATTTCTTCTAAAATTCCAATGTTTTTGCTCTTCTATACGATTGGATCCAAGAGGTCCTCTAATGCCATATTCGTGACCAACGGCCACATCAGCGCAGTTGCGATACACCTCTTGAGGTCCGCAACCGGTGGCTTGAGTGCCATTCTCGCAAAGACCCCAATTGTTTGCTGTTTATATACATGTTTACAATTTCTTAGTTTTTAAATACTAAATGCATTCATCAAAATGAATATTTCAAAAACGCACCCGACTTCCAATGCCACCTAAGAATGCATTTGTCGCATGTCTTATCGTGTGGTAATTGTACAGTAATGCCCACAACTCCCTTTCGGTTGGGATTTAGTACCCAATGGTCTGAGCCATCAATGATCTTAAGTGTTTCGAAGCAGTTCTCAGTTTCTGTAAAATAATAAGAATTCAATAAAATTGAAGATATTTTGTAAAATAGTCACCCTTTTCCTCAAAAGTGTTTCGCCAGCACATGTGGAACTGGAAAGTTCCCCCGTGATTGGCCACCAACTGTATCAGCACATCCATGACAGTGCCGGGTGCGTACGTCCGGGTTGTTATATTGCGGGCAAATATACCTCCCGTTTCGTGCTTTCTCTCCCTGTCGTACGGATCGCCACAAATGCCACACTTTCCTCCGTTTGTTTCCCAAAAACTCTAAATTCATTGATTAGTCAAATTATAAAGTCATTACAAATGCTGTACTTTTAATCCGCCGCAAAACAATTCATTGTCTCCGTAGTCAGGTGGAGATGGGAAGCCGAGTCTCCACATGGAATTCCTGGCCGGCGGCTCCACCATTAGGCCGTGTTGTGTCGATAATGACAGACAACACAACCATATTATAGAAAGCGAGAGTTCAGTGCAGGACTTCATCCCTAACTTTTCTGAATGAGTTTTGTGTGAACTTTCTTTTGATGCAAAAGTTTTATTTCTTAAAAAAAAAGTTTTTTATATGAATTTTGAATTCATAAAAGTGGAGGCGTTATAATAATAAGTTGTATTTGAAGTGTCTGTTCAATTGACAACTGGTTTAACAACTGTCTAATATTGCATTCCATTCAAGTCTAATCACATTTGTTTGTGTGAATAATCTCAATGACATTAACCTTTGATCTTTAACCCCTGTAAATATTGAATTGAATTTTTTATATAATTTTTTGTATATTTATTTGATCAGAAAATGAAAATGAAATCTCAAAAGAAAAGTTCATTGAAGACAAAGACACCCAAAAACTTGAAGACAAAAACCAGAAAAAGTGAGGAATTCTGGCCCGAACCCAATGAATGCAATTCAATGGCTAATGGATTTGAATGTGATTTGTTTGGATACGATAAAGAATTTAAATATTTGAAAAAAATAGTGGACAACACTATACTGAAAGGAGAATCAAATTCAGTGCTCATATGCGGTGATCCCGGATCTGGAAAGACAGCTCTGTTGGAGAGTTATCTGCAAAGTATCA